TGTGGAGGCGCGGGCGGGGTACCGGGAGAGGGCGGCTTGGCGGCTGCCGCCTGCCCCCCGTGGGGCGCCGGCTCCTCTGCTCCGACCGCCTTATCCCCGCACGGGCTACAGGGACTGAAGGGAAACATGGCCAACGCCCCCACGCCCAGCTCCGGGTCGCCGTCCCGTCGGCCGACACCTCAGCGCTCCCGCTCCGGGCGCCACTTCCGGGTGCGGCGGCCTAAACCCACCGGATGGGAAACCAGCGCCGCGGCTCGGCTGCCCTCCGCTGGGGACCAGGAAAGTAGGGGCACGCACCCCGAAAGGTCTGAGGTCGGAGGGTACGAGCGACTGAGGATGCCGGAGTGGGCATTGCGTCCGGCTGAGAGGCGGTCTGTAGCTGTCAGTGGGTGGTGACTGTGTGTCCGACTGGTCCTATGAGGCTCGGTATTGTTATGCATTGTGCCTGCTTTACGGGTAAGATTCTGGGCGGGGAGAGGGAGTTACCCTTTAAATTTAGGTCACGCGCAGGACAGACTGCCTACTCAGCCTGGAGTCTAAGCACCAGGCTAAGCACTTTGCACTGAGAAGCTCTTGTCTTTTTTCAGTGCCTAGAAGAAGGGAGCCTGTTGGTGCCCTGCCTATGTGCCCAGCTCCCAGCTACGCCCCAGTAGATCGTCTTTATCAAGGCCAGAGCTTTCCTCCCTGCAGGAAGGAGTACGTAATTAAGCCAGGAGAAACCGAGGGGAGCTGGAGACCTAAATCAAATCAACCAGGCAGGTAACAGAGCCCAAGTCGCATAATACTGTATCTGTCAAACCGGGCATGGAGGCTGTGACAGACCTAAGGCCTTCATCACAGCGCCTGAGGGTGAACACACATCTCGTTTGCAGTAAACGGTTAGCAGGAACGGGGTGTGTCTCAGGGAGGGAGACAGAATCCTCGATAAAGCCAAGCTTGAGGTACAAGTAAAGGTAAACACAAGAACTGACAAATGTTCTGGCCCTTGATCAAAAGCTGTATTGCAGGAAGCTCACGTTTGATGACTGATGGTAATTCTGGGGAAGATTTATCCTGTGATGATAGGTTTGAAAGATCTCCCAGGAAAGGGAGTGAGATTCAAAGACTGAAGATTCAAGAAGCCCTCGCATAGACAATGTTAGTAGTTACTCAGATTTTTCTGACCATGAGCTAGACAAAGAGCAAGAATCAAGCCTTCCAGGTTAGAAGGTCAAGGCAGCTATTCTTTTCTTTTTTTTTTTTTTTTTTTAATTTGAGGCACCTACTCTTGAGATATCTCCTATGTTACCCCCACAGAGCAGAAAGTTGGAGATCTGTTTATGATTAACAAATAATCTACCTTAACAACACAACTTCTGACTGCAACAAATACTTAGTAGAGATAAAAACTGAGGTATTTATCTGCAGGTATTTCCTGCTTTCCCCACATGGGAGGAAAGGAACTGCTCAACCACTGTAGGGGCGTTTATTTATACATTTGATAAAGTTAGTATCACAAAACACAGGATTGCCTAGTGACTAATGACTAGAATTGTCTCAGGCAAGGTGTTTCTCAGGACTGAAGCAGTTTGACTGCTTGAGGCACTCTTTATTCTGGGATTGTCCTGGCCCTACCCCCACACAAGTCACCAATTTCCTGTTTCAGTGCTCCCTACAATATCATATGCCCATTTCCTAGCCAATCACTGTATCACCATGACTGGTTTACACCAAACAGAATTTGCTTTCTAGAACTGAGGAAGTGTTTAACCTTTCTTGTAACTCGTGACAAATTCACCGTTGAACAAAAGCTTCTGTTGTCAAGGAAAGAGGGAAGAAATGGACATTCGCCTCCCATAGCATCCCATTAGGGAATATGCTGAAAACTCAATGTCAAAATTCCAAGTCTGTCCTTTATCGAAGGTATGGCCTTGAGCAAGATACTCAACTGCTCTGGACCTCCATTTCCTTATCTGTAAACTGGAGTTTTATAATAAGGTAGGAAGAGATAAGGTTTGGTACCTGCCTTACCTATCTTACAGGGTTATAGAGAAGAATAAATGAGAGTGAATGTATGAAATAATTTTATAAAACACTTTACTAATTTCAAAGCTTGTTACTAATTTAATTCTTAGAAATGAATACCACCAGAGCTTCTGTGAAAAGGTAGAACCTAAGTACAACCTGAATTCTAAAGAGTCATTTGATTTGTTACATTTACTCTAAATTTCATAAGATTACTTAGCAAAAAAACATCATATAGACCTTTAAAAGTAACACCATTATAATACCCTAAACAGTGAAGATGCATGTAGGAAGGCTGTGACCTTCAAAAGATTGCATCTGGCATTCAGAGGACGATATAGGGAGTATTCAGTGGCAGTTTGCCTATTCTGTTCTTCAGTTTTCATTTTGAATGGCCCTGTCTTTTTCCTGCTTGTAGACAGGATTTTTACCAAATGTATTTAAAGTTTTGTCTTACCATCCATTGGAATTTAGAGCTTTTCTTGCATGCTATAATCCCTTCTACAACAAAGAAACAGGTAAATGGAAAAACAAAGCTAAATCATCCTTGGATGAGGTCCTGGTGTCTGCTTACTAGCATTCCTTTCCACATGTCCCAGGTCAGTGGGTAGTGCCAAGTAGAACTAGAGAGTGACTTCAGTCACAAGTAGGCAGAGGAATGAATGACAAAGAAGATTCTCAGAACTCAAAAGGCTGTACATGGGATATGAGGAGAAAAGTATGTGGCTGAGATACAACTGGACCACAAAAGAGCGGGCATTCACAGTGGAGAACTTGGACAGATTATAGCAATCATTACCAGAGATTCCACTTAGGCCAGTCAAGGTCTGTTCTTGCTGTGACTCCCTGCACCAAGTGCATGCCTGACCTTCTCTTCTATCTCCTGCATGAGTTCTACAATGCCTAACGCTGGGTCTTTCTTGTAAGGATTGACAGGTATAGACTTTTCTACCTGCTGAGTCTCACATTCAGAGTCACCTCTGGCAACTTCTTCCAAACCCTACAGGTCACAAGACCAAAAAAAGACTGAAAGGAAACAAAGACCTGTTTGGATAAGCTACTGAAGGTATGGTGTAGGTGGCCACTATATCCGGTCTTAAAGGAGAGATGTCAAACAGATTCCATTTCCTGGACAAATTCCCACTTACTGGAAGTCCCTGGCTTGAGCAATTCCGAAAAGGATCCTGGACCCAACATGAAACAATGCTGTAGTCAATTAGGAGTGTCTGATGTGGGTGTGGGGAATAGTACAATACTTAGTTTAACAAGTCCAGCTCAGATACCTAATTGCAGTAAAACCTCCTGGGGTTTTTCATGGCCCAAAGACCTTCTGTGGCCCTTTTAAGTCTACTAACTTTTGATTGCTAGGATTTTATTGTCCTCTGCCAACACAAGTAACTTCCATAATGAGCACTTAATATATACTGTACCAGGTTTTTTACATACAGTATCCCACACAATCCTCCCAGCAATCTTAAATTTTGCACATATTAAAACTAAGGATCAGAAAGGTTAGGTCATACAGAGATAAATGTTTGAGTCAGGATTTATTTATTTGGCTGGATTTGTTTGTGAGACAGGGTTTCACTGTGTAGTTTAGGCTGGCCTTGAACTCACTATTTATCCCACGTTGGCCTTAAACTCACGGTGATCCTCCTGCCTCAGCCTCCCCTGAGTTGAGATTACAGGCATACACCATTATGCCTGGCTCAGTCTGGATTTAAATCCAGAGCTAACTCCAGAGTCTATGTTCTTCCCACTGTGTAGTTCTCTGTCTCTCTCTCTCTCTCTTTCTCCCCCTTCCTTCCTCTCTCTGTCCTTCCTCCCTCCTCTACCAGAAAAGAAACAAAAAATTATTCTAAGGACAAGTGGGGAAAAACCAAAAATCTCAACAGGTAAGTCGTCTTCATGCCTTCTCCATATGAAGTTAGAGGAGGACTGCAAGAAAACCAAAATTATGCTTTTCTAGAAAGCTCAGTCTGGTCAGGTAACCTGAAGCTGTGATGGGGTGATGTAGGACTGTCAAAAGTCAGGCTGCTGGGGTCAAATCGTGTCTCTGCTGCTTCCCACCATATGACCTGAGACAGGGTACTTCTCTGTCCTCTAGTTTCTTCATCTATGAAGTGTGTGCAGTAATACCAAACACATACTGGACATGGTGACACACATGTGTAATCCCAGCGCTCAGGAGGCCGAGGCAGGAGGATCGCCGTGAGTTCAAGGCTAGCCTGTACTACATAGTGAGACCTTGCTTCAAAAAATGCAAAATATATTAAAAAAAAAGAACAAAACTCAAAGCTGTTATGAGAATTTAATGAGCTACCCGTAAAATATATATATATATAAAGCTCTTAAAACAGAGCTTAGCATTTAGCAAATTCTGTAAAGATAAAAGTAAATAAAATGTAACATAACAGTATGACTTAACAGTATGACTAAACAACAGGTTTAAAATAACAGTATGACTAAAGTATACTGCAGTACATTGTGGATATATCAATATACATTGCTTACATTTGTATATACCAGACCCACAGACCCAGGAAGATCTGGGCAGCTCCTCAAATACCCTCTGTGATGGTTACTTTCATGTGTCAACTTGACTTCGGGGTAAGGGATTCCCAGATAGCTGTTTAAACATTTTTGGGTGCATCTGTTAAAGTGTTTCAGAAAAGACTAGGATTTAAATAAGCTGAATAAAAAAGATCTACCCTATCAATATTGGAGGCACCAACCTATCTGATTTTTTTAAAGGCAGGGGAAGTGTGAATTGACTCAGCTCTTACACAGACATCACAGCTCGTAATTCTCAGTGGCCTGTGTCCTCAGTGGCTCCTGTCCTGAGCTCTCAGCCTTCGGTATTGGACTGGGAGTAGTACTATCAGCTCCCCCTAGTTCTCAAACCTTGTGACTCAGATTTGTATTGCCCTCTCTTCTCGTTCTTCAGTTTACAGACCACAGATAGTGAGACTTGTCCGTAATTGTATCAGCCAGCTTTGTAATAAACTCTCTGTCTGTCTGTCTGTCTCTCTCTGTGTGTCTCTTTCTGTCTCTCTCTGTCTCTGTCTCTGTCTCTGTCTCTGTCTCTCTCTCTCTCTCTCTCTCTCTCTTATGTCTCCCATTCTCTGATTATTTTTAT